AGAAACTTGGCATACAGTAGCATTCGGGAAGTCCAGGTGGCAAGAAGAATATGCCAGAATACAGAAGTGCTGCTGCCTCAGTGAGGAAGGTCTGTGGAGCGTGGAGGCTCAGAAATCAGAGTCTGCTCAGCCATCCCCTGGGTACCTCATGTACAGACCCAGGCAACTTAGAGTTTGCAGATTTGGGCGGGACAGGGATATTAGAAGTGGAGTTTCTTGCTGTATTTTTAAAGGACAGCCGTAACAAAATATAAGAAAATAATGCTGCTATAGCTAAAGAACTTTACCCAATTTACTCTTTCAAAAGATCCCCAACATTATATATTGTTAACCCCTTTTAAAGATAACTTGAATGGGCCCAGCACAGAGGCCTAGCGACTAAAGTCCTAGCCTTGAAAGCACCGGGATCCCATATGGGCGCCTGTTCTAATCCTGGCAGCCCCACTTCCCATCCAGCTTCCTGCTTGTGGCCTGGGAAAACAGTCAAAGATGGCCCAAAGCTTTGGGGTCCTGCAACCATGTGGGAGACCTGGAAGAAGTTCCTGGCTCCTGGCTTCGGATTGGCTCAGCACCAGCTATTGTAGTCACTTGGGGAGTGAATCAACAAACAGAAGATCTTCCTCTCTGTCTCTTCTCCTCTCTGTATATCTGACTTTGCAGTTAAAAAAAAAAAAAAGATAACCTGAATGGACATTTGGATATTGCTTAGGCTGCCACTTCGGATGCCAGCATCCCATGTGGGAGTGCCTGGTTTGAATCCCAGCTAAGCTTCCAATTCAAGCTCCCTCGCAATGTACACCCTGAGAAATAGCAGGTGATGGCTCAGGTACTTGGGTCTCTGCCACCAGATGGAGCCAGCGTCCTGGATTTGCCTTGGGCCAGCCTCAGCATGTGGGCGTTGGGGAAGAACCTGATGACTGAAAGATTTCTCTCTCTGTTTTTCAAGAAATAACATTTTAAAGACTACAGAGGCTAGCATTGTGGTACAGCATGTTAAGACACCACTGTGCTACAACATTCCATATGAGCTCTGGTTTCAGTCCTAGCTGCTCCAGTTCTGATCCAGCTCCAAGCAAATGACCAGGAAAAGCAGCAAAGGATGGCTCATGTGCTTGTCAGCCACAATGGGAGGCCATAAGCAGGAAGCTAGATCAGAAAAGTAGCAACTGGGAAATGAAAGAGCTCCCATATGGGATGCTGGCACTTGCAGGTGAGGGATTAGGCTATTGAGCCATTGTGCTGGTCCTCAAATAAATAGATCTAAAAGAGAAATTACAGAGTGAAATGATCAAAACTTAGTCACAAATAGAAGGTGAGAGCAGTTTGGTAGACAGGTGTTCTTAGTTTCGACTGAATGACTAGCACATGCTCTCTTGTGACTTCTAAAAGATACCTCTTGAAAAGTTACAGTAGATCCTTTTGGTGCTTCCCAAAGTGGATTAATGATTAGAATCTCAATTCTAATTCCACGTAAGGCTGATGAATACAAATGATAATATTCTACTTGCCTTAGATCAGGTCATTGCTTTTTCTTCAAAATCAAGCTGGAATCCCTCTCCAATTTTGTGTAATGTCACTTGAGGGAGAGTAACATAAGGGCATGAAGGATTCAGCTTGAAGTCATTTAAATTTTTGTTTGAAAAGCAGAGTTAGAGAGGGAGACACAGAGAATGAGATCTTCATTCTACTGGCTAATCCCCCAAAATGAATGCAACGGCCAGATGTGGGTCAGACCAAAGCCAGGAGCCTGGAACTCCATCCAGGTCTCCCACATGAGTGCAGAGGCCCAAGCACTTGGACCATCTTCTGCTACCTGCCTGGGTACATTGGCAGGAAGCTGGATTAGAGGCAGAGCAGCCAGGACTTGAACCAACTTTCTGGCATCAAACAGTAACTTGAACCACTGTGTCACCACATTAGACCCTGTGGCAAAACTATTGTTTTAGCATGGAATTAAATAGGAAGCCAGGATTAATGTGCTAGAATGCCTGCTGTTTTCTTGCTAAAACTTTTGAGTCTCATGAACTTTGCATTCCACTTCATTTAGACTAGCCCCATCTCAGTGCTCACATCTAATTGCTGAACTGTCTACACAGAGTGTGCTGGGGATACAGCCGCAGGCAAGGCAGTGACACAGCAGAAGCCCTTACCTGTCTAGCCAGAATTTTGAGTATCACCCTGAAAACTGAGGAGATGTAAAAGAATACTTAGCAGATTTCATCTTTTTCTTTTGAACTTCCTCTAGTAGTCTCAGAGTGTGGGTCAGCGGGTAGAGACCTAGGATCAGGGGCTTGAGCAAAAAGCATGTCAGCCTGTCTTGATATTCCAGGTGAGGAGTGTCAAGAACCCAAAGTAGGGCCCGGTGGCATGGCCTAGCAGCTAAAGTCCTCGCCTTGAACACGCTGGGATCCCATATGGTTGCCGGTTCTAATTCCGACAGCTCCACTTCCCATCCAGCTCCCTGCTTGTGGCTTGGGAAAGCAGTCAAGGACAGCCCAAAGCTTTGGGACTCTGCACTAGCCCTTGTGAGATACCCGGAAGGAAGTTCTTGGATCCTGGCTTCGGAGTGGCATAGCAACAGCTGTTGCGCTCACTTGGGGAGTGAATCATCGGACGGAAGATCTTTCTCTCTGTCTCTCCTCCTCTCTGTATATCTGACTTTCTAATAAATAAATAGATCTTTAAAGAAAAAAAAAAGAACCCAAAGTAAAATAGCCTGGGCAATATGGGGCAGAGGAAGATGCACTTGAGAGATGCAGGAGGTAGAATCATGCATCTTTGGTGTTAACCATTGGATCTGGGTTCAGGAAGAGCCCGGGGATAGTTGGACCAGTACGCAGTAGCGTACATTGGAATGAGGGTCAGGTGCAGGATGAGTTCAACCTGGGGTGTGTTGATCACAGAGTGCCTTTGAAGTGGTCACGTGCTTCTGTGGACTGGGAAATGGAAGAGTTTACTCAAGGGGACATTCAGGCTGAGAGGCTCTCAAAGCTGGGTGGAGTACTCCCTGCCGCAGGTGCCCAGCGAGAGGTTAGAATGTCTAAGGGTAGAAGAGGGGAAGAACATCCTGGCATGTTTCAGCAGCTTTAGAATCAACCAGTGCTGCTAGGCCAAATGAGATTAGGACTGAGATCAAAGCCAGCCTAATGCAATTAGTAGACATGTTTTGTTTGGCTTCTGTGGGACTGGATCACACAGTGTTCTAAGTCCAAGTCAGTTGCCAACATTTCCACACAAAATCCAGATTTCCGATTTATCTTTGAAATGAAAAGGGACAGGAGGTAGACTTGGCAACACTGGTATTTTCATGTAAGTATTTTCTTTCCAGTGAAATGTCGTACCCCTTTCTGTGGCTTGCCTAGAACATGCAGGCATTTGAATTTCAACTTTGGAGGCAAGGCTGACTAGGTGAAAAAGGTACAAAGATTAGTGACATATTACGGAGAGCTTTGAATACTAATGTAAGGTGTGTAAAATGTAGACAACAACCTTCGATTGAAAGTTTGATGAAATTTGAGACTCTTCCTGAGCCATTATGAAAGTAAAGATGTTAGAACACTTAACAGTTTTGAAGGGGACTAGGGAAATGAAATATGAGTATATCAGAGATACGAATATATAGGGAAATTAAAAATGAAATGAGAATATCCAAATAGGTTTAAAAAGTACAGAATGGGGGAGCATGAAGACTATGATTGCCATGTAGAACCATATGAACCATTGAACTTGGTAGGAAATTTGCCTGTAGACTTCCAGAACCCAGGCTGATGTTTAATGAAGAGGATGGTGGTTGCCAGGGACAGTATGAAAAAGTAAAACAAATGATGCTTATTGCCTATTTTTTACCTGCAGACCACTGAACTGTTCTAAGTAGAATACCATTCTAAGTAGATTGTAAATAGAAGGGAAAAGTGCTTTTGTTTAAAAAAAAAAACTAATATTAATATCTAATTGTGATTAACTATATGCCAGGAACTGTTCCAAGTGCTTTTCGTAGTTTTTAATCCTCACAACAACCTTTGAAGTAGGTATTATTGCTACACATAAGGTTCAAAAAGTTTGTGGAAAATAGATCATTGAGGAGAGGTTTTGCCTAGATGTGGCTAAGATGCCCACATCTCACACCGAGTACCTGGGTTCCACGCCTGATTTCTGCTTCTGCCCTCACACACTCAGGGACAGTAGCAACAGCTTGGGTTCCTGCTACCCACACGGGAAACCCAGAATGAGGGCCCAGCTTCTGGCTTTGCCTGGCTAAACCCTGAGTGTCATGGGGAGTGTTTGGGGAGTAAACCAACGGATAGTGAGTGGCAGCACGCTCTCTCTCAACCTTTTGGATTTTAATGCAAATTTCCCATGGATTTTAGAACCTTCTGCTATTTTTTATTTTGTTTTTGACAGACATGTAGAGAGTGGGAACTTACCCAGAGTCATGAGGTCGGTAAAGAATGGACCAAGAACTTGAACCTGAGCAGTCTGACTGTAGAGGTTTATCTTTTATCACCGTGTTCAGCTCTGCTTACCTTTGCTCCAGTGCCACAGAGAGCAGCTGCATGGAGTGCCCATGGTCTCCCCCTGCAGGTGCCAGTGTGGCTTACTTCTGGAGTACAGGTTTGATTCAGGTCCTCCTGGGGGACATGCAGTGGCCCCTGTAGCTGCTGTTCTGGAGTCAGAGAAGTAAAGTTGAGAGAAGCAGGTTGTGTGCTGTACTCAAAGCTCACCTCCTTCAGCTGAAGGCTTAGCGTTAGCCTAGACATTGTGTACAGATAACCCCTTTTTTTGAAAAATAAAAGCTTAATACAAACTCATTTCCTGTTTACCAGCTAAATCCTGTTAGATTTGCTTCACGTTTTCTCGTGAACACCTCCCACAGAATGATTTAAGTTACTGACATTTGGAAAGGCATGGGAGTCCCTAACGGACACCTCTGATGGCAAAGCCTGAAGCCTTGTCCCACCAGCGCCACCGGGTGTAGGCTCATCTCCGTCTCTGCTTGACAGATGAACCACGTGAACAAGAGATTTCCGGATGAAAACAACAAAGAAGTGTTGCTCATGTGCATCGGCATCACCTCTGGCATCGGGCGGCTCCTCTTCGGCCGGATCGCAGACTACGTGCCCGGGGTGAAGAAGGTTTACCTGCAGGTACGCCTTTCTTTGTCTCAGTCTCTTTTTCCCCAACAGGGCTGCCCCATCTCATTGCACAGTATCTGTGCTCACATGCTTCAGTTCTTCCATAAAAAGGGGAAACTTTCTGGAACATAACTCCCATAGTTTTTCAAGAACAAAATCAATAGTCTGGATTTCAAACATGAGAAATTGACAAGCAAACAGCCATCATTTTTGTTTTGTTTTGTTTTGTTTTGTTTTGTTTTGTTTTGTTTTGTTTTATTAGGGCACACCATCAAACTCAAATGGGTCTTGGCTGTTGCTTTTTCTGAGAAGAGCGTTGTCTTTTTGGCATGGTTCTCACAGTCCTATGTCAGTCCTGTGCCCTTTGCCGTGCCTTGTGAAATCTGGGCTCATGTGTGACTTTTGAGCTGCTTCACAGCAAATGGCCCCTGGTTGTGGGCTGTGCGTAAACAAGCGTGAGTTCTAAGCTCGTTGACGACATCTAGTATTTAAGGAACTCTGTCATGCTGGATACTGTGCAGAATGCTACAGTTAGGTGCAATCTCTGTCCTCTGTTAGTAGCAGAAGCTCTTGGGGAGACAGACAAACCAGTGTTGCTGCTCAGCAGAATCACAGGTGTGCTAAGTTGAGCACCTGGAATGCCGGCACTGAGCCTCCGAATCACCAGCACAGCGAGGGCCTGGGTGATGTTGAGAACAGCAGGTGAGGACGGGGACGGTGGGTCCCAGCAGAAGAGAGCATGTGGGCAGAGGTGTGGAGGTGTGAGGTGGTGTCTGGGAGATGAGAAGAGCAGCTTGGGAAAGGGCTCCACATTCCTAGAAATGGATGAGCCGAATACTGGAATCTCACAGACGGTTAGAGAATTTTAAGCAAGGGTGGGACCTGCCTTTGCAGTTTACCAAGATCAGTCTGGTAGTTGTGGGAGGTAAAACAGAAGGAAGGACTTGAGATGGTTCCCAGAGGCCATCTATTGAGTGGCTCCATTTGTGTGAGGTGTCCAGAATAGGGAGGTCCCCAGGGACAGGTAGCAGAGTGTGGCCATCAGAGATGGGGGAAGCAAGGACCTGGGAGAAACTTCTGGGCATGGGATTTCTTTCTAGGGTGATGAAAATGTTCTGAAACTAAATTATGATGATGGTATAGTACAAAGTGGGGAATAGACCAAAAGCCACCAGAACACACACTTTAAATGGGTGAACTTTAGAATACGTGAATTATAGCCCCCCAAATCTCTAAGAAAAATTAGTTGTGAGAGGTTGGTGTTGTGGGTTAAGCTTCCACCTGTGCCTCCAACATCCATATGGACACTGGTTCCTGTTCTGGCTACTGTCTTGTCCAGTTCCCTGCTGTTGACCTAAAAGGGGGGTGGGGGGAGCAGCAGTAAATGACGCAAGTGATTGAACTCCTGCATTTCTTGTGGAAGACCTAGAACCAGCTCTTGCCTCCTGGCTTTGGCCTGGCCCAGCTCTGGTTGTCGGCAGCCATCTGGCAAGTGAACCAGTGGATAGACAGTCTGAGTCTCTCCCATTCTGTTTTTCAAATAAGTTAAAAAAAAAAATCTTTTAAAAAAATGCAAAGAAAAATGATGAAACTGTAAGGACTGGTTGGAGACTAACTCAAGTATTTTAAGCAGGGAAACTGGGATCAAATGCAGGAAATTTGAGGTATGGAAAATGAGAATTTGGAAACCTGTGGCTCAGGTAGCAGGCCAGACTGGAGGCTTTGCTGCCCTAACCAGGGGGAGTGATTCAGTTAAGTCTGAACAGGCTGATGAAGTTAATTTTTTGCTGTGATTAATTTGATGCCTGTGGGAGAAAAACAAACAAAAAAACATTGAGTCTAGAGCTCCTAGGATAGTCTAGACAAGTGACCCATGGGCCTTGGCATTCGTGGGCTATGTGGGGCTGAGTTGAGGTCCAGGGATGTGGCCGTTTCAGCAGTGTCAGGAGCTAGTTGGTAAGAGGGAACAGGAAGGTTCCAGAGAGGCCTTAGGGACAGGAGCTTGGGGGACAGACAGGTGTGGGGACAGATCGCAGGCAGCAGGGTGGACTTGATCCTAAAGTGCGGCTGTGGAAGGAAGGCACCGGCAGCCCAGAGAGGATTTGGATGGAATGCTAAGCAGGTCCACTTACCTTTATGGGTGAGAGACATTATTTGAGCCAAGCTCTAGAAAAGAGGTAAGATATGGGCACAGGAAGATGGTTGGAAAAGACATTTACTACAGGTAATGTAATTTCCGTTAACTGACTAGAAGTAGTAACCACCATTGTTCTGCCTTTCACACACCAGTCAAGGAGCTCCACATGCATGACCTCACTAGCCCTTGCTGTAGTCCTTTGAGGTGGGTGATGTCATCATTTCCACTGCACAGATGTGAATTGGAGGAACAGAGGCTGCTCGCCTTGGGTATCCCCGTAGACAGGTCCACACAAGAGTCTGACCACACAGCTAAAGACAAGTGTAGTTGCCGCAAGCATGCTACTTTTTTTAAAAAGTGCTTATTGTGTTAACCATCATCCCATCTTTTGTCAGTACCTCAGCTGCTGTCCTTGGCTAACATTTAGCTAATCCTAGAGTCTTGTTTCAAGTGTTAGGGGAGCCCTCTACTGGACCCTTGCTGCATTGCAGACTTTCAGCTTCTCATGCATTCAAAGATTGGAAGGTTTCCTGCACCTCAAACCCCAGCCAACACCCTGGTAGGATGGGGCAGACGGCACATATGTGATGTCTCTGAGCTCCTGGAGCAAGACTGAAGCAGGAGAAATCTGGGAATCCAAGAATACAGGGAGAGTTTGGAAAGTTAGGAGAGACAGAAATATACCCAATCTTGAAAGCCAAGATGGGGAGATTTTTCAAGCCCAGTCTCTGTTGGAGGCAGTTGGCTTGCCTTTGCTGTTGAGCTGACCATGGGTGCTGTGTGTGTGTGGAGGATGGATGACAGGGAGGAAGGCAAAGTGCCAGAGCAGGGACAGATGCTGGTTTCATGTGGAGCAAGGTGTTACAAAGGAGAGGGCTGGGGCAGATTTATACCTCCATGTTCTGCTCCAAAACAGCTGTCCAAAGTTTTCCCCTTATAGCCAAGGCAACTACATCATATACCACATTGTGTGTGTGTGACATTCCTTCCTATTTACAGAAGGAAATGTAGTGTTTCCTAGCTTGTCCCATGATTGGTCTGCAGTTACGCAGCAGCAAGCTAGAAGTTTGGATGGAAGGCTAACCCTCACCTGGCCTCTTGGAGGCCTTGTTTTTATGCAAACAAGGAGCAATGTTCCTGGTTCTCCATGCACCCAGGATTCACTCCTCGGCTGCTCCCGCATCTCGCCTCTGGTGTGCCTGACCCAAGATTTTTGATGCCTGGCTGCTCTGGCTGCTCTGGCTGCAGCTCTGCCTGTTTATTGGCGCCCACTCCCCCCCCCCCGCCTCCCTCGTTGGCTGGCTGCCTGTCTGCCTTGCCTGCCTTTTGGCTGAGCCTGTGAGTGCTGGAATGCTCTCTTTCTTCCTGGCTCTCGTTCCTTCCATTGGTGTTGTGTTCTGTCAGACATAGCTGCTCCCTGCTTTTGCCTCTTACAGCCCAGCCACATAGCGCTGTGACAGTTCATGCCCCTCCTGTCTCCATGAACTCATGAGCAGCCAGGCCTTGCTCACTGATGAGACAGATCAACTTTCTGTCGTTCCCCATGGCCTCAGTGCAGTCACAATCCCTGGGTGTGGGAAGCATGGTGTCAGGAGTGGGCCCCCATGTCACACCCTTCCTGAAGCCTACTCACCTCACCAGAGGGTTCCTGGTGGCACTTAGGCAGAGTAGCTGGTGCTGGTATATCATAGCTGGTGTATCATTAATAAGTCCTTGCTTTTATCATGTTTTAATATTACATTAACAGGAGACCCTTCTTATCCTGAACTGCAGACCTTTGCTTATAAGAGAACACAAGTATAGGAATTCATCTGACATTTCTGCTTATGAGTTATTCTCAATTTAAACTTGCCTCAGAATCCTAGGTTATAAGTATATTTTTCAAAGGTTTATTTTAGTTAAAAGAGTGACAGACAGGTATACTTTGCATCTGCTGATTCACATTCACTCCATAAGTGGCTGCACTGCCTGGGGCTCGGCCAAGCTGGGGCCTGGAACTGTGTCCCAGTCTCACGTGGCGGGCAGGAACTTTGAAGTCCATCAGCCATCACTCGGTGCCTTCCAGGGTATATGTGAGCAGGAAGTTGCCATCTAAAGCAGAGCTGGGACTCAATCCCAGGCACCCTGACAAGGGACGTCTGGACTGCTGGGCAAATGCCTGCCTCAGTGTGAATGCATTAGAGACTGTGTTCATGAGCCATTGTTCTCATATCCACCTTCCACATACAGACCCTCTTCCAGGATGGGTAGAGCCCATGTTGGCCAATTTCGTTTGTCCATTTCCTAAAGATAACTGTGATACCCTTGAACAAATGTTAGTCATTTCAAAACAAGATCCAAATGCTTCACAGGCCCCAGCTGGCACAAGGAGCCAAAAGCCCCATAGTCTCGTGGATACAGTGGTGCTGAGTGCCAGTGTGTCAAGTGCTGGTGGCTTGGGCAGGCAGAAGGAACCATGGGCGTGTGCCATGGAGAGAGGTGGATGGCCCCTGGGAGGCCTTCCAGAACGTGGCCTCTGTGTGCCTGGAGGCAGCCCTGGCCATGCTGCTGGGCGGAGGGTTTCCCTTGAGTTCCTGGTGTACACACAGAGCTCTGCTGCCAGCTGCTTTCCGGTCTGGCTGCTGAGCCAGGGTCCTGCAGGTCAGCAGGAGTAGCCAGTGGGGCCAGTGATACGGCCGTCTCCCCAGACGCCCCCTGTCTGTTCAGGTGCAGCTCATTCCTCCTCTTGAGCTGCACTGAGATTCCTGAGCGAAACTGGAGTTTCTGCAGGCCGGTCCTCCTGACCATTGAAACAACAGTGGCAAACAAGGCTCCAGGCACATAAACCAAAGCTGCACGTGTTCATCCTCTGGAGCATGTAGCATTACAACAGAAGAGGTTGCCTTGAGTTGTTTCACTGAAGCAACAGAAAAATGGAGACATCTCAACTGATTTGTCTAAGTGTCAGACTCTGAGAGAGAATTAGGGGATCTAACCTGAGCTGCTGTGTCTGGGAAAGACGAGAATGCAAGCATTGTGTGTGAAGCCCCTGCCCTCAAGCAGGAAGCTTGTCTTCCTCAGCAGCAGGTGCATTCTCGCCAGCTGGGCCACCTTTGGGGCTGTGACAGCTGCCAGGGAACAGCACTGTGCCTCGTGACTGTGGCTACAAATGAGATAAAAGAAAGGAGTTACTTTCCTGAGAAATGCTTAGCAAATAAGTATATAAATTTCAACTTACTCAGGTCTTAAAAGTCAATTTTCTTTTACTTTTAAAACACATTTGTAAGTCACTGTTAAATAATTGAAAAAGAGAGACTATAACAGAATGGTCTGAATTGAGCAAGGACAATTTTGCAGCCAAGTACTGGATTAATAAATAATATACCCAAATTGTATAGAAATAATATTTGAAAATCTTAATTTTTTTTTTTTACAAAGCTAACCAAAGTTCAAAAACTTAAAGGAGCCAAAAACAGGTATAGAGAAATCAAGAAAATGACCAAAAGGCAAGGATCTGGATCTCCTGTTACATAAACTGTTCCAAGAAAACATTTGTTATTAAAGCAAAACTGACATTGTGCCAAGAACTACAGTTGGCTTTCGACATAACTGTGAAATTTCATGGAACTGTGATTCTTATCTTTAAAGAAATTTGTGCTGTCAGCCAGTTAACATTAAACCAGTACAGCAATTGGGCTGGGCTGAGATAGGCTGCAGCACCCACCAGCAGGAGCTGAAACAGGGAGCAGGTAGACCAGGCCAGGCTACACAATAAGATTGTGGATGCTGAGGTGAAGCGAATCATGCCACCCTGGGTCCAGTGGGGCCTGGTACATGACCAGGGACGAGCCCAGGGACCGGGGCTCTGACAGGGCTCAGGTAACTTGGCTTAGGTCCCAGGGCCTACCGGCATGATCAGGGCCAAGTTCGTGAGCCACAGGAATGGGGGATCCAGTGGACTTGAGTCATCTTGCTGACCCAAGTATCTTGCTGAGGTCTGGGGGCCCGCCTTTTAGGTGGCTGCCAGATTTATGAGCCCCAGGGGTGAGGGAATCTGCTTTGGTTTGGGTCACCTGACCTGGGTCCTGGGGCCCACCTACTGGGTAGGTGTCAGGTTTGTGAGCCCCACAGGTGGCGTGTCTGGTGGGGCTTTAGTAGCCTGGCCTGGGTCCTTGGGCTCACCTGCAAGAACATGTCCTATTTAGTGAAAAAGACGGAGCAGTTGACATGGGCCCTGGTGTAAAAGGAGAATATGACAGCTCATTTGGTGCCATAGTAGAAGGAGAACAGAACAAATTGGACAACTACCCCAGTCAAACAAGGACAGCAGAAAAATCTCAGTGAATGGAGACTTGAGGCTTACACTATGTCAGCCAATGGACATCGGGAGGGTGACATCATCCTTGGATCGGTGAAATTGACAGCATTCCAGAACTATCCAAACCACTTGGGCAGAACCCTCAGAATATAAACACATTGAGACTCTAGACTGATACGAGGTGGCAGCTCCTCATCGCTGGGCACTGGGACATTTGAAGTTGTGTGTGGCTTCCCTCTGTCTCTCCCTTTCCCCCAGAAATAACAAGAAGAAATAGCAAAATTGGAAATAATGAGTTCACCCAGTTTTATCTAAAGCTCGATCCTTCCCACCATGATCAACCATGTAATTATTAGAAAAAATAAAATTAATAATAGAAAATAAAACACCCTAAAGAAAAAAAGAAATCTGTGCAGAACAGAATAAGCTGAGAATAGGAAACACATTAAAAGGAAAACAGGGCCTGGTGCAATGGCCTAGTGGCTGAAGTCCTTGCCTTGCATCGCCTTATTGCTTAAGCTCTGCAGTCCCACTATCTTCTGAGTGTACCCTTGGTACCCAGCTCACCAAGCTGTTGATGGGGATCACCAGTGATGCTAGCTAATGTGCTTATTTAAATGTCCATCTTTTCAGAATCATCCCAAGGGTCAGGTCCAGGCTCATTATTGAAATTCATACCACACAGCACAGTGCCTGCCAAATGGCAGGCAGAATCAGGTGTCAGATTCTGTTAACACTAAAATGGAAGTATTCAAAATAAATATTCTGAACCTTAATTCTGATGTCCTTAAATATGTGTATGATATCTGCTAGTGAGATGTACCTAACTTCAAGGGTTAAAAAAAGATTAAGTGTTTGATGAATCTGAGCAGATTGTATTTGAGGGACTGGTACAAGACCCTTAAGTCTCACAGTGTCTAGTTCAAATAAACTTTTTTTATATAGTCTAACTCAAAAAGAGTTTACAGGCAGGGGGAGAGTCTATCTGAAACAGTGGCTGTCTGTTCTCAGTGGGTTACTGAGGAAGGGCGGGGAAGAGGGAGGGTTGGGTTTTTTTTTCACATTTTACATTTTTTATTATTATTATCATTTTATGATACAGTTCCATAGGCTCCTGGTATTTTCCTTATCCCAGCCCCAATTCCCGCCCCCCTCCCAGTACCTCTATATCATTACTATAGTATAGTTCTTCATACACAGTCATATGTCCATCAGTGCGGGCATGGACAGTGGCAGAGTGGGGGGGATTGGTTTTGCCAGGCCAGCTGCCTGGCAGTCCTCTGGGGTTGCCCGCATGTTGCACATGTCACTCATGGCCAAGGATCCTCCTGCAGGAGAGCTGACGGTGTGGTGTCTTTCCTAGGTACTCTCCTTTTTCTTCATTGGTCTCATGTCCATAATGATTCCCCTGTGCAACATCTTTGGGGGTCTCATCGCTGTCTGCCTCATCATGGGTCTCTTCGATGGATGCTTCATCTCTATCATGGCTCCCATCGCCTTTGAGCTGGTCGGTGCCCGGGATGTCTCCCAAGCAATTGGATTTCTGCTCGGATTTATGTCTGTCCCCATGACTGTGGGCCCCCCAATCGCAGGTAAATATGCTGGTCACATTTTCCACTTCAGGTCTGAAGTCTTACTTGTTTTTTTTTTTTTTTTTTTTTTTTTTTCTTAATAATCTTAGTTTATTAGCGGTACAAAGGGGTCACGGGGCTACAGGGTGAAAGTGGGTAATATCATTGTTTCCACACTTAATATAATCATTTTGCCTGTATCAAGGGTTAGGGGAGTAACAAAGGGGGAAAGCCCCACCCTACCTCCCACCCCCATCCCGATCCCCACATGAGGCGCGCTCCAGGGTCCTGCTCATACGTTTGATAGATCACAGTTCTGGATTGCTGCCAATCTCTCCGTCCCAACAACGTAAATGAAACTATTCAGAGTTATGGATGACAAGTCTCTTGATGGTTGGGGTTCAGGAACAGCAGTTCAGTTCAAGAAATATCCAAAGAAACTTCATCTGAGTTGATCCCAGAATCTGATTCTTGAGTGAGTTTGCTTGTACAGGACTCCAACACTGTTGTCACACCAATCAGCTTATGAATATGCTGGTCGTTGCGATTGCTGGGTCGTCGGCTTCCAGCCCTGTCTTCCTTGGGAACCAATGGGTGTTGTAGTCCAGCTCGATTCTACCCATTCATATCGGTCTTAATGCAAACCAGTTGGAGCTACAGCCTAGTTGCGGGAGATCCCAAAACCCCTACCGTTATGCCCCCTACCCTGGTTCCCATGATTGCCAGTATGCACTGCAGGCTTGTCCGTCTGTCCACTTCCAATTAGCTCTCGCACAGTCCAATGGACATTGAAGCTATGGTCCACCACCCAACTATTATCCAGCCCATTACACCCACTGGCAGGTGCCTTTCTGTCAAGCCACCCCTGCTCCTAGCCTGGGTTTTCATGCTTTCCTTGTGAGGGTGGTAACCCTGGAGGAGGGTGCCCATATTTTCCCTACTAGGCCACACCCTCAAGAGTATGCGTACAGGTAGTTTTGGCATTTTTGACTTGTCAGAATTGGCTCCTAGTACAGCCTCTGCCAGTTAACGCTGATGCTAACCCAAACTCCCCTCAACCCACTCTAATTTTAACTTGCACGTCGAACAGTTCAGCTCACCGTGAAGCCCCACAGGTGCTTATAGCCTGCCTAGTTGAACTGCCCCATCGCATTCACCACTTCAATGGAAGTAGTTTTCATTCAGCAGGGGTGCCCACGTTCCCCTGTTGGCTTTGCCTCTCCCTGATTTGTCACATGTGCTGTTTGTGTGCTGCGCCACCATTGGTAGGCTCATCTCACCTTGGCATTACTTGTTGTGTTGGAGTATGTGTTGCACCGAAACCTGGGCTCGGACACCTCTGTTATGGTGCTAGATTCACAAGAAGGAAATGTGAACAGATCAGTTGGTCTTGCCCCAAACCCATGCCATGTGTATGCAGTGGGGATAATTTTCATTGCCTGTTCTGGGTTGTTTCCCTATTGTGTTCTTGCGATTACCTGCATGACTGTGTTCCTGCTATGAGAAGTTGCCCGGCTCCTCCACCAGAACTCTCCCAAGCAGTTTTCGCGCTACCAGTGGGTCCATGACGCTGCACTACTCTGTTCGCCTGCTATCCTGGAGAAACAGTGCTTTTAATCGCCTGTGCTCCGACCAAGTGGTTCTTGTTGTTGGGTATTTCAACCATCATGGCTCTTCCATACTACCAGCTCACACTGGTTCAGTAAGGGCTGATGGAGACCTAACTAGTCCGTCACACAACCTCCTGGTTCCAGAGCACCAGATGGTGTTGAAAATGGCCTGCTGGTGTTCATTCCAGTCCAAATTGTGCAAGTGAGGATTACGATGTTCTGATCAGAATGTAGCTCAGTTCCAGCCATGCGCTCCTTGGTGGGAAACACTCAACAGGTAGGGTGTCCCGTTATTTCCCAACCGGGCCTTTCCCTGACATAGAGCAGTGTAGGACGGTGGTTGTTCTGTCTCCGCTTGGCAGAGCCCTCATTGTCCTGGCCCCTGGGATTCTGTGGCTTAGTGCTCTGCCTCACACAGTCAGTAGTGCAGGACTACCTGGCAAGAGCTGATGCTCCAACCTGATTTCTGTGTTACTTGTGAGTTAAGGGTTTGTTCAGCCTCCAGTCTGCCCCTTCCAGTGCAGCCGGCCCACACAATCTTGTTTAAAGATGCACATATGGTGCTTGCTGCTTGACCTCCTGATGTTGTGGTTCCTTACCATGAAGTGATGGCAGTGGGTGGGTCACACTAGCTAGACCATTGAAACCACAGTTGGAATAACGGGGGACTTGTATTCCAAAGGGTTGGGCCACACACCCACGAGGCCTACCCCAGCCAAGTTCCTTGTGTGCTGGAGAGTTGTCTTGATCTGGCCAAATGTGACACTCCAAACCTCTACACTCTGGCGGGCATTTGTACAACACTGCCAAGAGGCCCACCTCCATAGCTTCCGTGTGGGCTTAGTATGTGGTGATCAGTTGATTGCTTATTTACTAATATCCATCTCTGTATTATAATTGAGTGTTGCATCTGTCTTACTAATTATCTTACTGGACACTTCCCCAAAACCATAGGTCTTGTCCCCTTGCCTGCTTAAATCTTTCAGACCCTGTCACTGAAGATACCCGAAACATTCATTGCACTACACTAACTAGTCTTAGTCATGAGTGACCCAGGCAGCAACTACTATCTTGGAAAACCCAGAGTTTGCCCATTCGGGCGGCCAGAAGGCAATGCCTGGCACCATGTGTGCACTGCCCCTTTTTTTTAGGGGGAGGAGAGGATCGTTCACTGCCTTGTGGCAGTGACTATGGCGTGAGTCCCGCATGGGTCCGACCGGAGGGGCACCCCCCACAGTGCACACTGCTGCAAGGAGCGTCAGTTGCAGAGCCAAGGACGAAACTCCTCCCAACCTCCCCCAGCCGCCATGCATGGGCTATTAGCAGCTGGGCGGAGCTAGGATTTTCCACCAGTTCCAAAGTTCCTCATGGCGGATTCCTGAGGGGAAGGCTCTCTTGTGTCCTGGGGGAGGCCGAGGACTCTTTCACTGCCTTGTGGCAGTGTATTTGGAGTGAGTCCCCCGCATTGGGACGACCAGGCAGGGGCACCCATGTTAGCAACTGCAAGGAGCGTAGTTGCCCCAGAGGCAAGGAAACGAACTCCTAAACTCCCCAGCGCATGGTCTTAGCAGATGGGAGGAGCTAGGGAATTTCACCCAGTTCCAAGTTCCTAGGCGGATTACACTGGAGGGAAGAAGCTCGCTTGGGTCCTGGGGGAGGCCCGCCGAGGGCTCGTTCATGCTTGTGGAAGTGTCTTTGGGTGAGTCCCGCATTGGGGTCCGACCCGGCGGGGCACCCAAGTAGCACACTGCAAGGAGCGTCATTGCCCAGACCAAGGACAGAACTCCTCCAAATCCCAGGCATGGTCTTAGCAGTGTGCGGAGCTAGGAATTACCACCCATTTCAGTTCCCTCATGGCGGATTACCCTGAGGGAAGAGCTTCTTGGGTCCTGGGGGAGGCCGAGGACTGTTCTCTGCCTTGTGGGGCAGGTTCTTTGGCGTGATTCCCGCATTGGGTCGACCGGCAGGGGCACCCCCCAACGTAGCACATGCAAGGAGCGTATTGCCAGAGCCAAGGACAGAACTAATCCCAACTCCCCAGCCGCATGGTACTTAGCAGTGGGCGGAGCTAGGAAATTCCCCCCAGTTCCAAGTTCCCTCATGGGGACTACCCTGAGGGAAGAGCTCTCTTGGGTATGGGGGAGGCCGAGGATGTTCACTGTTGTGGCAGAGTTTTGGCCGTGAGTACCCGCCATTGGCGTCCGTCCCGGCAGGGCACCCCCACGTGCCACCACTGCAAGGAGCGTCAGTTGCACCAGAGCAAGGACGAACTCTCCCAAACTCCCTGCCGATTGGTCTTAGCAGCTGGGGCGGATTAGAATTTCCACCAGTTCCAAGTCTCACTCTGGCGGACTTACCTGAGGGAAGAGCTCTCTTGTGTCCTGGGGGGAGGCCGGGACTCGTTCACTGCCTAGTGGGCAGTGTCTTATGGGTGATCCCGCATAGGGTCCCCGACCCCTGGCACATGGGTCACCCCCCACAGTAGCCACACTGCAAGGAGCGTCAGTTGCCCCAGAGCCCAAGGACCGAACTCCTGAAGTCTTACTTGTATATGAAACATAATTGACTGACTGCCGACCCTTTGCTTCCATATGGGCCTTGTCACTAACATTTTTAGTAAGACTGAATGTAATTGAAAGTGTATTTAAAGGAGTAGCTGAGAAGTCCCTAGTAGTCTTTCTGGCATCTGGAACACTTGAAAGAACAAATAACAGAGAGAGTTGGGCTTGTTGAGACTTTCATATTATTGTATTACACTTAGCATGCAAGCTATAAAGGAACAGAAATAGGTTTGGGTTTTTTTTTTTAATGAAGATTCTGAAAGATTTTTAAATAAGTGTGTTTTGTGCAAGAGATCACACCCTGTGGGGAGCGGGGTGCTGAAGCCGCTTAGGGATTGAGAGGGACCATCACAAGATGGTGGCTGGCCCAGGGCCAGGAGGCGGGGTTGGTCTCACCAGCGGGCTAAACAGGAAGTCACAGAAATAGGCTATGCCTCCACTGCGATGACCTTTAGGACAGGATGATGGAAGGAAGGACGGACGGACGGACAGACAGACACAGACAGATGGACGGCGACGAGGAGAAAGACTGGGGGACGGCAAGGAGAAAGACTGGGGAAAGAACGACAGGCAGAACAGGAAGAACGGCAGCTGAGAGGGGAAGAAGGGTTTAGATCTTCGCGTGGAAAAGTTAAGGCGTATGGGGAGGAAAAGCGGCTGGGTCTGCAGCAGATTAGAATAGCACGTTATTAGGAATGGCATTGGCCACCAGATATGAATACATAAACCCCAAAGGTAAGGACTGTCCCTGATTGAAAGTTCTTCCAAAAACAGGCTGAGTACCACCCCACAGACCCTGCAGCTCATCACTAGCTTCTAAGGCCAGCATGATGTTTGTGAGGCTGGTAGGTTCAGTTATGTATGTGGAAGACTCTTAACTCAGAAGATAGGGAAATCACGTGTTTGGAGGTGTTTTATGGATATACCCAGAGCAAATGTGTGCAGTCAAAAGGATGTGTTGGTACTGATCTCCGTTATGTATTTAACAAAGCCAGATGGAGACTTTTGGTACAGTTTGGTCACTGAACATTTCAGGTAACTCTAGATGTGTAGAAAATGTTATACTTTGCAACTCTGAGGTTTGGAGTTTGTTAGGTAAATTAGAAATAAAAAGCACTCTAACATCTTTCAGAGCAGAACTGAAGGACCAGCTAGAGTGCCACACAGACTAGTGCTAGACTAGTACTGCCAAGTCCTGGTATTATCCAACAACCTGGCTTGTTCCATCCTGGCTCAAGGCTGTGCAGTTTTCATGATTTGGGATTTCTTAATAGACTTACTCGTTTTACTTAAAGGTTTTACAAAGATAGGGAGAGACAGTGAGAGAAATTTTCCATCTACTGGGACACTTCCCAAATTGCTGCAACTCCAATCCGGTACTGGGATCCAAGGGGGCTTCTTCTGGGTCTTCCCCGTGGGTGCAGGAACATAAGGCCTTAGGCCATCCTCCACTGTTTCTCCAGGCCATTAGCAGGGAGCTGGATGGGAAGTGGGGCAGCCAGAGCTCTAGGCGTTGCCTATATGAGAAGCTACTGGCATATGGCAGAGGATTAGTGTGCTATGCCACCACACTAGCCCCAGTTTTCATCATTTTAGCTTATAATTTCAGAAAACCACGAGGTCCCAGGTGGTTGGAGCTACAGGTATGCTGAGATCTGTGAGTGTGAGTGGGCCTGTCTGGGGCACAGGCATGCTGCATGGTCCACCCATCACCAGCAGAGTGCAGGATCCTCAAGACCCCCACATGACTTCAGAGAGATTTCCAGAAAGCACGGGCTTAATTGCAAGTATTGTTCCCAAGGAATATGTTAGCCGTATGAAAACCCAGAGGCCCTCACTCCGAGGCAAGATTAAAAAAAAAAAAAAAAAGACCTTTTCTTTTTTCCTGTCTTGTTAGGCTTGCCCTTCAGGTCATTTTGCTAATAAATGTTTGATGCTTTGTCTGACCTGTCCTGAGGTTACACCTGGCACCCCAGCAAGCCACCCCGTCTCTCGTGGTGACAGCTCTTTCCCTTCACAGGGCTACTTGAAGACAAGCTGGGCTCCTACGACGTGGCCTTCTACCTCGCTGGAATCCCCCCGCTGGTCGGCGGCACGGTGCTCTGTTTCATCCCGTGGGTTCACAGCAGGCAGCAGAGAGAGAACAAGCAAAGCAGCGGAGAAGAAAAGACGGAGAAAATGTTGGAGAACCAGAACTCTCTGCTGTCTAGCTCATCCGGAATCTTCAAGAAAGAATCTGACTCTCCTATTTAATGACTGACATACCCCCACCAGACTGGACTTGCTTTTGCGTGTTCAGCAAGTTCCCCTTTTATATAAATTGGAAATTCCTTATTTTTTTAATCACATCCTTGGAATAGCACAATAATCAGGAAACTGAACCAGTTACTACACGCACCACCATCTGCCACCAGATAGCTGATATCTCTACAAGTCTGAGGAACAAGACTCTCATACATGGAAACAAATGCAAAAGGCAGATATTATGACATTTTGGAGCTATCTCATAAAAAAGGCAACTTTGGAAACTGTGAATGTGATCTAGCTTGTATAAATATTTGAAAATACCTCAAGCTATACTAAAAGCGTTACAGTTTGGCTAGGAAGAAAATCATTTTGTCTGTTGTCTCACATGGTGTGTCATTTTAGTTTTAGTCCCTCACCTCTGTTTTAATTTCTTCCGTTCTTCCGTGAGATAGCAGCCCAGATCCCAGATTACAGCAGAAAGTTCAACTCTGTTGCTCGCCTGTGTCAAGTGGTGTGAAGCTAAGGCGTTCTGACTTGTTGCCGCGTCCAGGGGCCTTCTGGGAACAAGTGCTAACACCGCATTCAGAATCAACCCGTGAGCTGACAAGGACCCCACCCAGAGGGCAGGACCTTCAGAAAAGAGGCATCTCTTCCAGTCACCTTTGTTCCCTTGTGGTTTGCAGTGTGTTTTTCACTCAAGTCTCCAGAAACATCCCACGTTTCTGGACTTGTTTTAAGAAATAAAGTAAAATTGGAAAATGTGAAAGAGGTTCTGGCACTTGTAACTTAGAACTTCCCTGACTGGTGAATTTGTGTTAGCACTGATCAGCAAAGTCTTATTGAGCACACTATCAGGTGGGAGTTAGAGGCACCAATGACGGGGAGCAAGACCGTTGTATCTGGGGAGAAGATGTCGTCATAGAAATGGCTGGCTGAAGTAGACGGGTGTTAAAGCGGTCAAAGTGCTCGTTAGGAGAGGCGGCACCTACACTTCCAAGATCTTCTAGCAAGGCTTTGCCATCATAGGTGTAGTCATACGTCACTCACCACAGGGACACATCCTGAGCAGCGTGTCACTCGGGGACATCACAGAGTGTGCCCAGCGCAGGCTGTGGCAGCACCATGTCTCCAGGATGTCAGCTGAGATGCCCTGCACCACAGAGGGCCATGTTATCCCAGTGTACCCCCCATTAACATTCCTGGGGTTTTTTTTTCCTATTTCTATTTCTGTTTTCCTATTTCTATTAAGAAAGCTGTCAGTTTCAAGGGTCTAAAATTCAGTCAGACCAGGACCCGGTTTCATGCATGAGACAGGAGCACGTTTCCTGTCTTTGCAATCATGCTTTAGTACTGAGACCTCTGAAAGTTAGTAATATCTAAAGTGTATTTAAATCCTAAGCATAAGTGTGTGTGTTAGATCTTGCTTGAATGCATCTTGTTCATCTGGGAACAATATTTTTCTTTTTTTTTTTTTCCAGAAACACCCATTTGTTTGTAAATTATCTGCACAGTATGGAATGTCTGTAGTTTCATCAGTTTCATTCCTCATTGTTCTTAAAAGTTAGTCTTTCCATGCCATGTCTGTAGCCGAGGCAGAGGTACCTGAAGGACAGGCAGCACTCCAGTTGCTGGTTTCTGGGGGAGGGCGGGGGTTGGAGGGAAGGGAAACTGTTAACAGTCTGAAGATCCACTGGCTCTCCGTATCAGTTTTATCATCTGACAAAGTGTGCATATTAAATATTGGATGTATTTTTAACAGACTTTTTCTCATAAAGACATTCAAAAGTGTATTCTTCTATACTCACAGTATAACCTACTACTTACAATAGTTTCATATTTCACATTCAGGTGTCTTTGGTAATTTGCCATAGAAGGTTCTGTTGTGGTGGGAGAAAATCTATATTGTGGCTGTCCTGCCTTTTCATGCTGCACTGTAAGCTTTCAGCAGGTGATTTGGACACACTGTATCATCAGCTCCTTCAAACTTTGCTTGCTTGGTTTTACCACATGCTTTCAGGAAGTTTAACAAAAACATACCAGAAAGACTGGTCATCAAAGCTGCCATTATGAGGGCCCAGTGTTTTGTTTTCCGTTTTAGCTTAGATTCTTAAAGACATCCCAAATTGTTAAATAAAAAGTTTACTTTTTGAAGACTTCTGAAATGTCTTTCCTTTAGATAGGGAAGTTTAAAAGAGATAATAATCTGAGCCCAGCACGGTAGCCTAGTGGCTATAAAGACCTCACCTTGCATGCACTGGGATCCCGTATGGGCATTGGTTCATGCTCCAGCTGCACCATTTCCATTCCCATCCAGCTCCCTGCTTGTGGTCTGGGAAAGCAGTGGGGAGGATGGACCAAGGCCTCGGGACCTTCTTGCATCCACAAGGGACACCTGGAGGAGGTTCCTGGCTCCGGGATTTGGATTGGCTCAGCTCTGGCCATAACAGCCACTTCGAGAGTGAACCAGTAGATAGAGGATCTTTCTGTATCTCCTTCTCTCTGTAAATCTGCCTTTCCAATAAAAATAAATAAATCTTTAAAAAAGTAATAATCTTAAACCCACAAATGTTGTCCTGCTTAGTTGGTTCCCACATTATACAGCAAAATGACTCACCTGTCTATAATAACATTTTCAATCTGAGACTGTTTTATTTATGTATCATGTAACAGGTAGCTCTAAGTTTAATAATGGCATGAGTCAAACTGGGTCTGTGGTCCAGAAAACTACCATCAAAAACTCGTGCAGGGAGTTAGAATAAAGGTTAAAGTACGCATTTCTATGAAGTAAATATCTTGTAATACATTGTTTGGTAAGAAAAGATTTCTCAATCTAAATATACAAATACAAATATGAAAAATACCTGTATTCATGTTTTAGGTCCAGACATACCACTTTAGTCGAAATAAATTCCAGTTTCTGTACAACAGTATTGTTGCTACGAGAAAGTGACCTGATAAACCAAAATATTTCTGTTCAGCTCTGAGGAAGAGAATCATCAGAATTCTGCTTGTTATCTCATCCTATTCTGATAAGACAGCAAGTTCTCCGATTCAGCGAGTTTCGGCATTGGAGGCCAGAGGTAAGAAAGGCAATTGTCCTCTTTGGAAATGTTGGATTAGATATCAGCAGACACCTGAGGAGCTCCTGGAATCGGTTTGCTTCTTTTTTTTCTTTTTGTGGTGGACAATGCTGGGATCCATCTGTTGAAAAAATAATTAACCACCCAGATTATTGGTGCTTTGTTCAGTTTATCAGTCACTGATCACAGCTGGAATGCTGAACTGCTTTCCCTGCTACAAGGTTTGTCATTTTCGCTGATTTGCACAGTACTTTTATTAGATTTTCCTAAGCAGAAAGAAGCCTTCATTTCCACTTCCTGATTTGTATGTTACCTTTTTCCACGTTAGCAGATGGTCCCATGAATGCTGCCCAAGAGAAACCTCCAATGCTGCTGGCCTCAACTTCCACACTTTGAAAATCAGTGGACGCTTAGCCCTAAAGTGTGTGTATGGTTATTTCTGCCCTTTCCAATGCTTTTAGCTGCATTGAAGACTACCTTAGTTCATAGCAGAATTACAGGTTAGCAGCCTTCTATTCAGATGAGCTGGCTCAAACATGTGGTACAAGGTTCAGGACAGGCAAGATACGAGTTGATGTGGCCAGTTGTGTGGGGGACAGGGTTGGGATGGGCTCCAATACCCATTGGTTTGTGTAGAAGGCGGGGCTGAAGGCAGAACTGACCCAGGAATTGGAACCATCAGCATACGTGTAGGCAGATAGGGGCAATGGACTGTACTGGACCCTGTACTGGCAAACACTGGGATCACTTCAGATGAAGTTTCTCTGGGGATCATGTGGAGGGCACTGGGATTAGAACTGGTGCCCATATGAGATCCTAGCACATGCAAGGTGAGGATTTTAGCTATTAAGCCCTCATACAGGGCCCTTAAGTCATGTTTATCCCCTAAATCTGAAGCTGTCTTTTTTTTTTCCCTCATTGAACCTGTTCCCACCCCCGTGGGACTGCGTGATAGCATCACCGTCAATGTAGGTGCCTCTATGAGGAGTCCTCACGCCTGTAACTGTTTACTATCATTTCTCCCAGGACATGTCCCCCCCTCCTGCCTTAAGCGGGGTGACATTTAATCAAGAGTTGAGTTTATTTAAGAGGCTATTCCTGACCTTGAAGACAGGATCGGAAGTGACATAAGCTAACTTCAAATAAGCCTTCACCTTCAACATTGAAAAATGTAGGAAGTTTTCAGTACTGAAAACATTACTGACATAAACATCAATGCAGTTTTTATATTAAAAACTTACTGTTTTAATGTATTCTCTCCTTAAAGGAGGAAGTGAAATTTTTATGCCTGCCGTTTTACATCTTTGTTTGTTTGTTTGTTTTTAATTTGGAAAGTAAGGTGCTACTGTTTGGGAAAGGTACTGAGACAAGTAAGAGCAAGGGAGGCAGATAGCTGCTGGGCTCACTATAATTTCCTAGCCACATCTATCATTTCGTTTGTTGCCAAAACCACTACTTTGTGTGAGAAATATACCACAGAGTGAAGAGACACATTTCAGTAGTTAAATGTGAAATGTATACTTGCTAGGACAAATTCATTTATCCACCATAGATGTGGACTTAGCAGGTGGCTCCTGAGACATTCAGGACTCATCCATAGTCACATCTTGAATCACTCAGGAAGGTCTCAAGCCTTTGGATATAGTTTACTTGTAACTTTTAAAATGATGAAATTGTAAGCAGTGAGCTCTAAGCATCTTGACCGCTAGCCCTTTAAGGAAGCCTCTTTTGAGGTTCAACTTACCATACTACTGTCTTAATTCAGGGGACAATCCCCCTGGGCATTATATAACTAGGAGGCAATCTCATTTCTGACTGACTTGGATACCTGTAGGTTTGAACGGTGCTGCAAACAAAACAAAACCTAAGCCTGCATTCCTTCAATGCCAATAGTCCTGTGCCCTCCTCTGCTCCCAGGGACCAATGGAAAGCCCAGCTCTGTCAAGTCCTGCTTCATCCGGAAGGCCCTCACAGGGATGAAGGAGGGATTTACAAGTTAAAGCCTCTGAGTATTCTCACCCAGTCCCCCCACACCAGCCCCTGAACAATTACACAGCCTATCCCAATGGCCTCTGAACCTTGGAGAGCTTATCAAAAACCTTCGGTTTCCCAGCTTTGTCCTTCCCACACACACCTCTCTTCATCCCTTCCAGCCTCAGGTCCTTCCCTCTGCCTCTCTTCATCGCTTTTTATTCTTTTTCTTTAAGATTTATTTATTTTTATTGCAAAGTCAGATAAATAGAGAGGAGGAGAGACAGAAATATCTTCTGTCTGATGATCCACTCCCCAAGTGACCGCAACAAGCGGCACTGTGCTGAGCCAAAACCAGGAGCCCAGATCCTCTTCCAGGTCTCCCACACAGGTGCAGGGTCCCAAGGCTTTGGGCCATCCTCCACTGCTTTCCCAGGCCACAAGCAGGGAGCTGGATGGGAAGTGGGGCTGTCAGGACTAGAACTGGCATCTACATGGGATCCCAACATGTTCAAGGTGAGGACTTTAGCCACTAGGCCACGGTGCCAGGCCCCATCTCTTTTTAAATGTAGGAATAATCCTGTTTTTCTTGTCATTTTGAATGTTTATCTGGGGAAGAGAGAAAGATACAAAGAAGCTAAAGCTGTGTTAAAGATAGTAATGACTGGGTTTGCTCCAAGCAAGATTTCTTATATTTTTTAAGAACTTTGATCTGCTGCTTTACTTCCCAAATGGCTACAAGGGTTGGATTTGAACCAGACAGAAGCCGGGAACTCCACCCTGGTCTCCCAGCACGTGGTCCATCCTGTGTTCTACTCTTGGGCACTCAGCAAGCTCCCAGAAGGCTGTGTGATGATATTTATGGAGTTCCCGGAGTGAGGATTAGGGAGAAATGACTACAGTGAAGGAAGCAGTCTGCGTCTGCTTATTCTAAGCGTATTTGGGTGCTGTTGTTTTTTTCTTTTTTCCTGTGACAGGCATCGGGGATAGAAATGACCCAGAAGCACGTGGGAGTCTCAGAACTCCCTGTGACACTCTGTGTAGTTGTAGTTTTTACATACCTGACTCATTTACACCGGTAAATTCAGCTCATGCTTAAGGGTGCTCCTACTGACCGGGAAGAGAAAGATCTTCCATCCGCTGGTTCAGTCCCCAAGTGGCCGCAATGGCCAGAGTTGAGCCGATCCGAAGCCAGGAGCTTCTTCCAGGCTTCCCACACGGGTACAGGGTCCCAAGGCATTGAGCCATTCTCTATTGCTTTTCCAGACCACAAGCTGGGAGCTGGGAGGGAAGTGGAGTGGCCAGGACATGAACCTGTGCCCAGATGTGATCCTGGCAGTTGCAAGGTGAGGATTTATCAACTAGGCGACTGCACTGGGCCCAAGAAGTTGAGCTTTTATCCTTAAGAAGGAGTTGACAGGGCCCGGCGCGATGGCGCAGTGGTTAAGGTCCTCGCCTTATATGCCCAGGATCCGATATGGGCGCCCGTTCTGGTCCCGGCAGCCCCGCTTCCCATCCAGCTCCCTGCCTGTGGCCTGGGAAAGCAGTGGAGGGAGGCCCAGGGCTTTGGGACCCTGCGCCCGCATGGGAGACCCTGAAGAGGCTCCTGGCTTCGGTTTGGCATGGTATCGGCCGTTGCACTCACTTGGGGAGTGAATCATCAGACGGAGGATCTTCCTCTCTGTCTCTCCTCTCTGTATATCTGCCTTTCCAATGAAAAAATAATAAAAATAAATCTTTAAAAAAAAAAAAGAAGGGGTCGACAGATTTTTAAGTAGAGATTTGCATTTTAAGTTGCTTTGGAGAACAGAGAACTCAGGAAAAGGATGCCAATTAGAAGTGTGGTGAGAGACAATGGAGATTTAAGAGTATTGTGATAATGCAGAGATGTTAAATTCATGGGAGGGTGTTGTTTGGATTCAGCCTGCAGCAGGCCCAACAGAGCAGACCAAAATGGCATCTCTCCTGTTAGATGCCAAACAAGGAACTGAACCTCAAAGTGGACAGATTTTCCTAAGAAACCCCAGGGGATTCACAGCCACAAACCAGAAGGACCTCAGTTTGTCTGAACCGACGTTATAATCTGGCCACCTCTGCATT